AGAGTTGGCATTTCCATCGGGTTACTTGGGTTTTGTTCGCAGAGACTTTTCTGGGCTGCGACAGCGTTTTGAACGAATTTGTACAAGAAGCCTCTTCAACATATTTATCATACGCTTTTTCCTTTTTCAAACACTGAGTTAGTCAGTTCTCCACTGAATATTTGCACTGACACGTGTGAGTGAGGCGTGAATGTTAATTTTATTTTTCATCCTTAATTACTAAACATATCTCAAATGCAAATATATTCGAACCAGACACTGGTTATGTTTACAAAGTGTGGAAAAGGTTTCACTGAATATGACAAGCAAGGAGGGAAATATTGTCCCATTGATCTAGGTTGAAGAGAAGGACAAGCTTTTCACTGTGCTTGTCGCTTTGCACTATACAGTCAAGTGTAGTCAAATACTTAAAGCGCTTGCTTATTCCAGAAAAAGCTAATTTTACATTATAGGCGCATGAGTAGATATAATAATAACCTTTAAAAAGTGACGTATTACGTATAAGCGAGGAGGTTTTTCAATGGACGTGAACATAGTTGAGACTTCCCTACGGTTTAGCCTCTGTATCACTTCGAATACACTTTGATATTTCGAATTGATGACTGGCGTTGTATTCACATTCATACTTGATATATCTGAAAGCTTTATTAAATTTAAAGTTTCAGTAAATGCCAATGGGATAAGCGAAATTCTATCGGACAGCGTATGTTGATATGTGCATTATAAACATGAACCAATAGAAAGTGATAGTTCTGATGAAAATCAATAACGTAATCCTTCATATTCCTTAGTTACTATCTCCGTAAGGCCAGTTACAACATTGCCACCAATACCGTAAGCCAGCATGATTGGCAGTTCTAATAGCATGCAGGATGTCTCATTCCTCGTCCTGTAATAAATCCTATTGAATAACCGTTCTTCCGCGCAGTCCACGAAATGTTCGTCCGAGTAATCCGACTCGGAAATGGAGTCGATCAGGGGTGTTATCTCTCCCCTTCATTATTTACTCTGTTTGCATTAATAGGCAGATTATGTTGCATGTTAGACACAGATGTGTGATATGCATGTTCTAAGCTTCGTATGACGATTACAAGGCTTGGTAATACCTTGTTGAAAACGTGTGCATCGCGTTGGAACCATTCCAGATAACGGCCTCTTTTGGTCACTATCTTTCTATATTTCACTATCGGGATGTGTGGTGCTTTCTTTGCTCTAAGGATCCGTGTTAGAATTGATCTTCAGAAACCCATGCTTGTCGTAAGAGTCGACTAACGAGATCGGGTGGTGAGGCTCTCTGACTTAGTTGACACATGTCATCGTATCCCAATTGCGTAGATTGATGCGCTGTTGATCGCTGGATTGTCTGGTCCAGACTCGATTATTTACAGACCGCCACCATACAGCTGGAATATTGCTGTACGGCGTAAAATTAAACTCACTCACTCTTTGCGCTTAGTGTATGTCCATATCAGCTATCTAACTGCACATCCATCTTCCAACAGATAATATTAGATCATTAAGTAAATTGCCTCCGTGAATATGAGCGGGAAATTGATACACAGTCAGAAGTCATGACATAGGACCCAACGATAAGAACTCAGAAATGAATAGACACAATCTATCAGACAAGGTAATTTCATTGGATATGGAAAACTGAAAGGCTCGTTTTTCTTGAAAGTGATTAGTGATATTTGATATAGAAAATGTTGAGCACCTCGACGCACTGTGTCGTATTTTCTGAAATATTGGCGCGATAGCATTCAGTCATATAGTATATCGAGTTGGAAGCATGAATAATTATGGTGCGTACGCATGGCAGCTTTCAGCAACATATAAAAGGGGGGATCACGTTTTCTTCGTTATTAGTTACGATTGCTGTCTTAAGCACAACAACATTCTGTTCCCATTCCAAGCTTGCAGGGACCGCATCCGTGGTGTAGTGGTTAGAGCGTCCGCCCGGAGAGCGGAAGCTCCCCGACCGCGTCATCTTCAAGACGTTAAAATATGGTACTTGTTGGTCCCTGCCTGGCGTTCGGCATTAATGGGTACAACAAGGACTAGTCGGCTCGGAGTCTTTATAATGTGTCTGAGTGGGATATTCATGCTTCACTGCGGCATGGTATCTCAGTGGGCTAGCACTATAAAACCAGCTTAAGTCTGGGCTAGTACAAGCAGCCGCACATACACATACACACGCATGCACGTCGTCATATGAGCGAAATATTCTCAAGCACGACGTAAAACCCAATTTCACCTCACCTCACCTCCAAGCTTTCAGGAATTTCTGATACTTTCTTGAAGCAATTCCAGAAATACTCCATCAGGCCCTCGAACCCGGTGAATTATCAAATCGTGCTCTACAAAGATTTAAGTCAAATATAAACTACGCTTACATTCTTTAATTATAAGAAATTTTGTATGAACGATTCTATCTGTATATCAAAAGCATGGCATGGTTGTGATCTTGAATTAGAATCTAATAGTGAAAACGCGAAATGTAAGCGTACCATGCCATACTATTGGCTCGCGCCAGAAACACACGCAAAGGCATGGCAATTGATTACCTAAAGTCAACACGGGAATATAGGGTATTGTATCTGACATCATGTTTATCATCGATGATGACTCGAAGGATCTAACTAATTCTCAGCAAGGACCGTATGAAGCTCTTTTAATGTTTTCGTAGAAGGAGCAAGCTACACATGAACAAATGCCCATGCAAGACACAAGTGACAAATATTTGACAGAACCATTCCATGACGAAGTAAACACATGTACACGAGATACACAGATACACAGATGGTATATTTCAAAGACGTAGGACAAACAAACACACACACACCACATACAGAGAGAGAGAGAGACAGGGGCAGACAGAGGGAGGGATAGATCGAAAGAGAGAGAGGGGTGAGCTATAAATTTGTGTGAGTTGTGTGAAATTCAAGGATGCTGAACTATGTGTGTATAACACTACCATTGACACTTGATACGTGGACTTACATATATATATATACACAGAGAGAGAGAGATACAATGTGCCATGGATATTTTGTCAAGCCTTTGAAAAACCTCCTCGCTTATACGTAATGCGTCACTTTTTAAAGGTTATTATTATATCTACTCATGCGCCTATAATGTAAACTTAATCTGCATCTAAATCTCAAGAGTTTTTAGAATATGTATCTTCAGTTGCAGCTAATTTACCTCATTTGAAAAGGGTGATATTATGTTGTACATGTAATATCATCACATACTGTCGTTCTGTGGACTACGCGGTTACAGTTACAACTCATTACCAGTCTCATCAGCCGAGTTGATCATTCGTGTGATTGCGAAACCGTACCCTTTCAAGACGTTGTTTGATAAGCTTATGACATAGATATGGCACCGGGAATCAAGGCAAGGTAAAATAGCTGAAAAAGAAATCCTTGTTAAAGGATGGTTGAATAAAAGTTGATGTGTGTACAGATGAAGCTGGTGATTGTTTCATGTGTGTACAGATGAAGCTGATGATTGTTTAATGTGTGTACAGATGAAGATGGATGATTGTTTAATGTGTACAGGTGAAGATGGATGATTGTTTAATGTGTACAGATGAAGATGGATGATTGTTTAACGTGTACAGATGAAGATGGATGATTGTTTAATGTGTACAGATGAAGATGGATGATTGTTAAGTGTGTGTACAGATGAAGATGGATGATTGTTTAATGTGTGTACAGATGAGATGGATGATTGTTTGATGTGTGTACAGATGAAGATGGATGATTGTTTAATGTGTACAGATGAAGATGGATGATTGTTTAATGTGTGTACAGATGAAGATGATGATTGTTTAATGTGTACAGATGAAGATGGATGATTGTTAAATGTGTGTACAGATGAAGATGGATGATTGTTTGATGTGTGTACAGATGAAGATGGATGATGGTTTGAAGTGTGTACAGATGAAGATGGATGATTGTTTGATGTGTGTACAGATGAAGATGGATGATTGTTTGAAGTGTGTACAGATGAAGATGGATGATTGTTTGAAGTGTGTACAGATGAAGATGGATGATTGTTTGAAGTGTGTACAGATGGAGATGGATAATGTTTGAAGTGTGTACAGATTGAGATGGATGATTGTTTAATGTGTACAGATGAAGATGGATGATGGTTTGGAGTGTGTACAGATGAAGATGGATGATTGTTTGAAGTGTGTACAGATGGAGATGGATAATGGTTTGAAGTGTGTACAGATGAAGATGGATAATTGTTTGAAGTGTGTACAGATGGAAATGGATAATGTTTGAAGTGTGTGCAGATTGAGATGGATGATTGTTTAATGTGTACAGATGGAGATGGATGATGGTTTGGAGTGTGTACAGATGAAGATGGATAATTGTTTGAAGTGTGTACAGATGGAAATGGATAATGTTTGAAGTGTGTGCAGATTGTATTGGATGATTGTTTAATGTGTACAGATGAAGATGGATGATGGTTTGAAGCGTGTACAGATGAAGATGGATGATTGTTTGAAGTGTGTACAGATGAAGACGGGTGATTGTTTAATGTGTACAGATGAAGATGGATGATGGTTTGAAGTGTGTACAGATGAAGATGGATGATGGTTTGAAGTGTGTACAGATGAAGATGGATGATTGTTTAATGTGTACAGATGAAGATGGATGATGGTTTGAAGTGTGTACAAATGAAGACGGAAGACGGGTGATTGTTTAATGTGTACAGATGAAGATGGATGACAGGTTGGATTTTTGAATGTACAGGTGACAGATGGAGGTGAAGATGGATAATGGTTTGAAGAGTGTACAGGTGAAGATGGATAATGGTTTGAAGTGTGTACAGATGGAGATGGATAATGGTTTGAAGCGTGTACAGATGAAGATGGATAATGGTTTGAGGTGTGTACAGATGAAGATGGATCAGGGGGTGGGTGGATGAAAGCATGAATGAATGTTATGATCTAACTGTTTTATAGCTTGTTTCGTCCTTTTCAGCAAATGACCATCCACCCGGATGCACGGTGTGTGCGATATCATCGAAAATCGAAGACTGTAAAGATACCCATTTCTCTTCCCATGCCATTGAGAATGGTTTGTGTGACAAAATTGTTGTGGACGACATATTAAGTAAGTTTCAAATAGTATAAATTCAGTAAAGTTCAAGGAAGGTTAACATCCCTAGCACTCGTCTGTACCATAATATAACATTTTCTGAAAATCAATTGTAAACTATACATTGGAAATGCATTGTATATTTTGTCACAAAGCTGAAAAACCCAACAGCTTTAATCTAAGAAACTTAACAGTTTCGTAATTTCTTTCGGCTAGCTTTGTATCTCGCAATTACTTGTAGTTAGAGTCGACATATGTATTGGATGATCAGGCTCTGTGTTGAATTTAATGGTCATATCTCATCATATCCCTACGTATACAGCGTTGATCGTTGACCGTTGATCGTTGATCGTGATCGTGATCAGTAGCAGGTTTGTCTGGGCCATAGTCGGTTACGTTCAGACTGCTAAAATGTATGGAGTTAAACATAAGGGGCGTTAACATATTACACTATTACACTATGAATGTTGGCGGAGTTGCGCTCTGAACATAAGCTGTGTCACTTCGGGCTACGAAACAGATCAGCTCATGGTGTACTTGTAAAACAGACGAATTGTTCATTCAAAGCAAGTTTAAACCCAATTCGGCTTCTAGGCTGCTGACATTTTCGTCATTTGTATCTTACCTGCCAAATAGTCAAATGAGCTCATGTCATGGCACGTTGACGATCTTTGCAGTTTCGACATCACCTCTGAAAATTCTGAAGCTGAAATTTTGAACATGAATTCTCGAAAGCTTGGTCACAGTATTACTAACCGATTTTTAAAGCAGACATATTGAAATTCCCATTTTAGACAGGGGCAGCTAATGACTTGTAACCGGCCCTCGTTTTATCAAGTTTATTGAACTTTGGTTCATTTGTGTTGAGTAGGGGAACCTGACATATTAGTTACGTGTTTCGATTTGATGAATTTAGTCCATGTCAGCATAACAGTCGCTAAACATACTGCCCATAGCAATACAAATAAAAGATACAAACTTGAAAAGGCGATATCATAGACCCGGCTACCCTGGTGCAATGTGTTATCAAGTAGTGTGTAGGTTTTTTCGATAAATGGTTGCATTCAGAAATTGTTCGTCCAACATTAGGAGAGGACCGAATAGTGAAACAAGCCCAAGGAGGCCTAAACCGGATAGGTTAATTGTGGCAGCCTCATTTTGTGATTGACTACTTAAAACCCTTGAAAACCAGGAACTTTTCAGTGGAAGTATGCTAGCACCTTTACCATACTGTTAAATGTCTTAGTCACCTCCGATACATTCTCTTCCCACAGAGGTTACTTGTCATATCTTCCTACGAACCTCTGTTCTAATACGGCCCTTTCATGGTGCGAGTGTTCCGGATTCGTCATTGGTTGCAATCAGATTTAGTTGTGCAATCAGCGACGTTGTTTCAAAAGTGATCCTTCGCAAGGCCTCTGTAATTTCCGTAGGCTTCGGGAAAACTAGAACCCTTCCCCTGCGCGATGCGCAAACGTTTCTTCTAGACAGAACTCAGTCATGTAATGGCGGATCAATGGCATCCCCATCGCCCTCGTTGACAACGGACAACCTAGCCATTAAATGTCTTGTGTGTCACATCAACACAATTCCCTGTTGATGGGGGACATTTGTGGCCCCACATTTGTTTGTACTAGTCAAGCTGAATCTAAGTCGACGTAACACGTGTTCTGATTGGATAAAAAGAAGGGAGATAATTCGTGTTGCGACTTTTTGCCGCTAGGGGATTTTACGAGAACCGGGAAATATGGCCGTATTAGAACAGAGGTTCGTAAGAAGATATGACAAGTAACCTCTGTGGGAAGAGAATGCCTCCGATACTGCTTGGCTGAAATTTGAGATGTAGGTTCTTTATACGAAGACTGCTCATCTTCTTCCAATCAGTGTTATTGATATAATTAAATTAAATTTAACATAAAATTTTATAGGAAATTCATTCTGAAAGCTGAAATGTTGTGTGAATGTTAATGACTGTTGGTCTGTTAAGTTTGATCCATGTTTGAGGTCTCGTGAAGGTACCAAAATACGTCGGATGAGCTACAGATCCTAATGACTCTAATTTCGGTCGGTAATTAGAACATGTGTTTAAAAAACTATATTTAATATTGTGTACTTGCATTGTTTCATCAGGGGACAACTTGTGTTTGAACTACAAGCAAGGATTCCAGATACATTGTGTGGAATCTGGCACATACTCGGAGCACAACTGTAAAAGGGGATGCCCGACTCGCTCAAAGAAAGAGCGTTATCAAGCGGGAGGATCTGGATCGTCCCTCCACACAAGGGCCGTCAACGTTGCAGGAGTCCTGGTGACCTTCACTGTCTCTATTCTACTCAGATAGTAACTGTGACACAAAAGACAGATGTATATATATATGTGCTGTGCGTGTTTGCTTGGAGGAATTACTGTGATCTGTTACTATCCATGTGCTTGAAGCCGGGACACTCACCAGACGACGTAGATGTATTTTGTTATCTCCTATATTACTCTGACGGAAACGACGAAATCGTCGTCAGCGACATTTGTAGCAATGGACTGCGACATATTTAATGTCTTTCATCAAATAGATATTTTAGAAAATGTGGCTACACAGAATGGATATTTGAGCAACAGGTAACAATAGAATAGCAATAGAAACCAACAATGGGTATTTGTTTCTGAATATTTTTTAAACTTATGGCTGTGTTTCTGAAGCTGTATCGCTGATCTAGGAAAGTCTCTAACTACAGAAGGCAGTCTAAAGCTGTGGCAGTCGATCCAAAGCTGCACCATGTGACACTACTGTAGGAATATGTTTCTGACTACTGCAGTGTGTCTAGAACTGTACTAGTATACCGGTACCCAATGAAATGAAGATGTGATCAACACTGTTGAAATCTGTCTCAGGCTATGTTAATCTACCCTTTGCTGTGTAAATGAAAGGCTAACATCTAGTCTCAGAAATGAACATATTTTACGGTAAAATGGTTCCTCCATTATGTTAAAAAAATATGAGAAAAAGGAGCCTTGAGACTTTCATCATTTTCAGAAGCTGTGATTATCTTGATTTGCCACATATTCTAGACTTGCATGGGCGTATTAGGTTTTTGTGTTTTCAGGGTCTGTATGACAGACAATGTAAATGTTAACTGTTGAAATCTCTCTAATGCAGTGGACAAATGTCTCTGATTATGGCAATACTAGTATGTCTAAATTTATTGCAATATGTCAAAAGCAGTCTGCATGTCTGAGAATATGTGTCTCACTGTGGCAGTCTGTTGGGGCACTGTGGCAATCTGTGGGGGCAACCTGTCTCTGGCTGTGACAATCTGGAGGCTCTGTGAATGGAGATGTTTTCATACTCCACGTGTTCAAGGTAGATCTAAAGAGCAACATGAAATCAGTGTAAATACCCTAGTCAGAAACTCAGGATATTATCAAGTATTTCATCATCACCATCATCACCATCATCATCATCCCTGTCACCTTTCACCACATCCCGACTTTTGGGTCACCCCATCCTTCACATCAGGCACTGTGTATCAAGCAAGTCCTCTCGCATGCCATCCATGAGATGCCTTGTTGAGTGCTTGATAAGAGTATGGAAGCAGACAATTATTGATAATTACCAAAAACGTGGCTCATAATTGCGAGTTATATCGGTTTCGATTTTTGGACTGAGAGTCTTACAATCTAAAGGTACAATTGTTAGCATATACGGTCACTTAATTGAGTCTGACTTCTATCTTTACGATTGTGCAATTTCTCATCTTTGTTGTTTATTGGAAGTCATACAGACATGTATTGTATTCTGGAACGATCCATACACGTACTCCTACGCGCCATATCTACATCCATGTTAGAACTGTTACCATTAATCCATATCTTTCTGTATTCCAAAAATAAGTGTTTGTATCGTTTATGTCTTCTCGTATTGTGAAGCTATCTTTTGCATAATACATCTATATACCTTGGCACTGCCTGTACGTTTACACTAAAGCTTGTGTTACTGCTTTCTGAATATCCGATTTCTTTTTCTGACTATGACATATCTTGCGACATACGCTACATTGTGGTACATTATACACAGATGCTACAACATATATTCAGTGCATCATTGCTTTGAATTCATGATATACCCAACAATTTATGATAATATGATACATTTCATCAGTAGTTGCTTTACATTGTCGTCATTGCTGTATGATATGCATTATTACTTATCATTCCTTCGAATTCATGACATACAAATGTCCCTATGACCTTGTTATATACACCATATCATTACTTTATAACATACCTACATTTTCTCACTGTCGTGTGTATGCTGGTCATTATTCCGCCGACGTCATGATATACGCCACCACATGCCTATTAATACTTACTACCTGCCTATTATTACTTACTACATGCCTATTAATACTAACTACCTGCCTATTAATACTTGCTACAATGCCTATTAATACTTACTGCATGCCTATTAATACTTACTACATGCCTATTAATACTTACTACTGCCTATTAATACTTACTACATGCCTATTAATACTTACTTCATGCCTATTAATACTTACTACATGCCTGTTAATGCTTACAACATGCCTATTAATACTTACTACATGCCTATTAATACTTACTACATGCCTATTAATACTTTATTACATGGTATTACACTACGTTTTTCATATCTGCATGTCATATTATAGAAAGTTCATTATTCCTCCGACTTCATGACAACCGGGGGCGATGGATAACCTAGTCGGTAAATCATTGGCTCGTCACGCCGAAGACCCGGGTTCGATTCCCTACATGGGCACAATGTGTGAAGCCCATTTCTGGTATCCCCCGCCATGATATTGCTGGAATATTGCTAAAAGCAGCGTAAAACCATACCCACTCACTCACTCATGATAACCCCTACTGCATTATCATCAGTACTATACAGCATAGTATTAAACTACACCTTTTCATTGCCGTATGATATGAACCTATGTGTTCTATAGTTTATGATATATTTTACTACTACATGTGTTCAGCGCTTTAACATGTATCTTGTGCAGTAGCTATTGGCTTCGTGTTTGATAATACAAAACCACAAAGACGAATTACATTCACCTTGTGTACATGCGTTGTTGATGCTTCAAATGTGTTCATACTGTTATGAAATAAAATACTCATTTTCATTAGAACATTTGCGTGTGGTTTCTGTGTGGGTACATGTGTACCTGTAGCTCACCTCCATCGAAGGAAAATGAGTGAGTGAGGGAGGAGGGAGGTGGTCTCGTTGCAACAAGCCAACCAAGTACTGGCCATCCAAACACGTACTGACTTACCAGGCAACCATGTACTGAGGGGCCAGACAACCACGCACTGACCAGCCAAACACGTACTGACTTACCGGGCAACCACGTACTGACGGGCCAGACAACCACGCACTGACCAGCCAAACATGTACTGACTTACCAGGCAACCAAGTACTGACGGACTAGACAACCAAGTACTAACCAGCCAAACACGTACTGATATACAAGGCAACCACGTACTGACGGACCAGACAACCACGCACTGACCAGAAAAAAACGTACTGACTTACCAGGCAACCACGTACTGACGGACCAGACAACCAAGTACTAACCAGCCAAACACGTACTGACTTACCGGGCAACGACGTACTGACGCGCCAGACAACCACGCACTGACCAGCCAAACACGTACTGACTTACCGGGAAACCACGTACTGACGGGCCAGACAACCACGCACTGACCAGCCAAACACGTACTGACTTACCAGGCAACCACGTACTGACGGGCCAGACAACCACGCACTGATCAGCCAAACACGTACTGACTTACCAGGGAACCACGTACTGACGGACCAGACAACCACGCACTGACCAGCCAAACACGTACTGACTTACCAAGCAAACCACGTACTGACGGACCAGACAAATCAAGTACTTGACAAGCCAAACACGTACTGACTTTACCAGGCAACCACGACTGACGCGACCAGACAACCAGAGCACTGACCAGCCAAACACATACCGACTTACCAGGCAACCACGTACTAACGGACCAGACAACCAAGCTCTGATCAAGAAAAAACGTACTGATTTACCAGGGAACCACGTACTGACGGACCAGACAACCACAACCAAGCACTACTGACCAGCCAGACACGGGCAAGACACGTACGTACTGACTTACCAGGGAACCACGTACTGACGGGCCAGACAACCACGCTCTGACCAGAAAAAAACGTACTGATTTACCAGGCAACCACGTACTGACGGACCAGACAACCAAGCACTGACCAGCCAAACACGTACTGACTTACCAGGCAACCACGTACTGACGGACCAGACAACCACGCACTGACCAGCCAAACACATACCGACTTACCAGGAAACCCGTACTAATTGACCAGCCAGCCAAGTACTGATCAACCAAACACCTAGTGACTGACCAGCAAACACACGCACTGACCAGCCAGTCACATTCGCCGTCCTAAACCCTGTGGTCAATTCTAGAAACCAGCATATACTCTGGATATTATTGATTTTTGCATGAAAGAAACAAAATCATTAAAGCATAAATCTCAGCTGTTATTATGGATTTACGAACGTTTTTCCCATTTCTTCTTAACTAATAACATTAAAATATCGAAACAATTTAAAGAAATCTGTCTCATCGTATTTTCAACGATAGCATATTTTGCAAAAGATTAAGACAATAATATACATTATTTTCGTCAGAAAAGGTTGGCATCGCAAGCAGCTTTACATTTAAGCAAAAGAAACTGGGGCCCTTTATTCCGATGATTGAAAACACCTGTCTCAGTTGAAATTGCTTGCAGTCTGGGTTTGTAACATGATATGGCAATAGATTCATAACATGAAACGACTTCCATCTAAGGAAAATGATTCAAGAAAACATCATTGGTGTACAGTCGCGTCAAACCTCAACAGAAATTATACACAGTCTGTTCCAGATCATGCCAAATACTTCGCCCCGATCGAGAATAATTGTCATCCCACTTTGGTAGAGTGTGAGTAGCCGACTGCGCGGAGTCAGTTCTGGAAAATGTCATTACGCTTTGAGGACAGCGTGTCGCTAATGCGAGATCGTCTTGCTGGTTTTTTTACTACTGATTCCTAATGCCCCCTAAATCAATCATGGGGATATTGAGGATGCACTGCATTCTTCCTCCGCATCTAGAACACTCAATAGCCGGACGCTTCGTCTTCGGTAACAAGACCATCTGTTGTAAAAGCCATCCGAGTTATTTCCGATTTTGACAAACCGTAACGTTTGTTAGTTTTACGCCGCACCCTGAAAACTTTCTGCTTTCAATGATTCGCCACTACAACCTGAAAAATATTCTGTCACATCAATCACATGTAAACTAAACGCCTTTACATGTATATGTAAAGAAGCAAGCGCCTTTACATCTTCCGATTCTATGAACCAGCTAAAAGAATAGTACTGACAAAGCATGAACTATATTTTGTACGAATGTTATCGATCAGCGTTTCCTATCACAACAAAGTTATGTAACTCTGCTAATGCTAAATGGCTGAACTCACATGACAATGAAGAAGCTAACTGTATATGCTTCCACCAATGAAGAGATGTGATTGTGCACAAGATGTTTCGATCTGTTTCCAAAATGGCCGACATTGCAGCCATATTCGACAAACCCTTTCGTCAATTTTAGTTCCTGGGGGTGTGTTTATTGTTTGTATTGGTGTATGGACCATGGTTGTATATGCCTGGGGTCAACATATCGGTTCCATTTTCTGCAATTACCTTAATCAATAAAAACAATCAAAATGCAACAACGATAACCATTTGAAATGTTATCAACCAAAAATTTGGAGATAGGTTTTTACTGTATTAAACTTCATCACAAACCAATGACAAAATATATACCTGGGATATTTTAATTATTTTGCCGAGAACAGTTTGCCTAAGCGTGATACGAAAACAAAAAGGGACTGAAGCCAAGTTAGGGTTAGAACAAAGAAATAATCGATGACACCATGACTAGGAACTGACAGACATTTTATGCATGAAAAATGAACAAGTTCTTCCTGTAAATGAATTTCGAATTCCTTCAGGAAATCTTGCAAACAAATATCAATTGCTGCTGTCTTGCCTTGAAGATCATTCAGACACAAATTTAAAAGTACCATCTACACACCACCAGGGGTTCTTTACGTTTAAATGTTTCATTCCAGAGTGTTCGTATTGAAGATCATTATATGCTTTCTCTCACAATTTGCACCACTCCATGTCGCGACACCAAGAGAGCTTTAACCATTTCACGAAGGACAGAATGATATTTAAGCAAATACATCTGAACGATGACCGATACTAAGACACCACAACAAGACATGCACCTTAAATCGCTCGGTGGAGAAGAACACACACACACACACACACACACGCACACGCACACGCACACACACACGCACACACGCACACACACACACACACACACACGTATGCGTATACGACGTATTACCGAGAATACCAAGACCCGCGTGAGTATTTTATATGGCAACACTGAGCAGAAGCATGGAAACAACAGTCTCATTTTAGGTACGCTTCATATTGCTTTAGCGCCGAAGCTTTCACAGCTCACAGCTCACAGCTCACTGTAGTCTGTCACACAGTGCCTGAACCACATTATTTTCTCTACAGCCTAGTCCTCTCTGCAATACTGAAGCCCTAAGTGAAGGAAGTCTAGATTTCCCTAGAATCTCTGGTCTCCCTGGGGCTCGTTTTCAAATTGATGGGTATATTTGTTACTGTCGATATTGTATATATTCAGAGACAAAGCGTTAGTCTACTCGCAGCTCACAGCTCACAGCTGCTGAATCAACCACAGTGATGTATGCCGCAGAAGGATAAAGACAGATTCCCTTACCCCTACCGCGACCCCAGAACACACATCTCCCAAAGGTTCACCCTTCATTAACTCAGTCAGAGCCCCGGGGTGCGGGTTTTTGGGTATGATTTGGGCGGTATTACAACGGCTTTTTTTACGCTTATCTAGATATTCCGTTTCACTATGCTATAGAAAGTTCACCTGTTGATACTTTCATGGGTATCCTTATAACGAAAACGGCTCAGTTATCATATGTGTTGGAAGAAAGAAATCAAAGCACCGTTACCAAGCAGAAGTAGTACAGTCTAATTCTAAAAGAGTCATTGTGAGGATGTTAACAGTACCCAATTAACAGAGAAACCCGTGAAGATCGGAGTTAAAATTGGCCTGCAGCAACCCATGCTTGCCGTAAAAGGCGACTAACGGGATCGGGTGGTCAGGCTCGCTGACTTGGCTGGCACATGTCATCGTGTCCCAATTGAGTAGAGGGGCGTTGGGGTAGTCTAGTGGTTAAAGCGCCGAAGACCCGGGTTCGAATCCCCACATAGGTACAATGAGTGAAGACCATTGCTGGTGTCACCCGCCGTGATATTGCTGGAATATTGCTAAAAGCGGCCTAAAACCAAACTCAGTCAGACAACGCCAATTACGTAGAACGATGCTCATGATGTTGATCACTTGACTGTCTGGTCAAGACTCGATTATTTACAGACCGCCGCCATATAGTTGGAATATGCTGAGTGCGGCGTTAAACAACAAACCAACGACCAAAACATTACCAGAGGTCTGAGTTTTCGCACTATATCTATAGCATATGGTGGTGTATAACTGGCTCTGTACTGTTGAGGATGCTAAAATAGCTTGGAAGTGATTAGATATGCTCAGTATCACCAGGTACTAGTTTCTATGTAAATGAGTGTAAAAACTGTTTGATGTACGAGCATGATTAATAATGTGATCACCGCGCATGGTTGATCAGTATGTGGTACTTAGGCAAGCTTAGAGGACACGGGTATATTGGTGTCTAAGATCCGTTTGAATATGTATATTTGCCTTATATATGGAAAATACAAACAGTAGCAATGCTGCTGGAGAGACAAACGTGATATGTCGAGATTTTCACAGATCTGATACACAAAGGGATATATAAATATTCGTGTTGACGCTCTGGTATTCACGATAGTGGTATATTTAGACATACTTGTTACGTCAACACTCTATGTATCTAAATATACAATGTTTTCATAAAAAACAAACTTTAATCTATTTAAATTGGAAAGGAGACACAGTTAGCTA